TTTCAGTCATGAACGTCCATATATGCAATTTCGGTTATTAAATGAGCAAGCAGTCTATTATAAACAGGAAAAATTATTAAAGAATCGGCAATAAAAGTCCTGATCATCTGAACTTTAAAAAATCACACTCTCAAATTTCCATGAATTGGAATTTTCGGAATCCCGAATTTTTATGAGCCCAAAAGGTTAACTCGCGCATTTGCCAGGATCTCCTACAGTCGCTTCAGCCCTTCACACCCTTCTGAAGGGGCGGATCTGAAATTGCGCCGAGTACCAGAATTAGCTTCGATCAAAAAACATTTACTTGAATAATCTATAACTCCAAAAACTAGGTTCCCAATGCCCAAATATCCGGAATCAACGGCAGAATAATCTGTGGCTGATCGTGGCTCCCACCCTGAAGCGTGGGAAGTCGGGCCACTAGAGAGGGGGATGTCGATCGGGCACCTGTCCCACTCAACGCAAACTCACAAAAGGTTCTAATGGGCCGGTTCGGGTAGTGTTGTCTGAAGAAAATGGCTTAAGGGGCCATTAATGTATATTATGTACATACTAGTCGAGTTGTGTCACAAATGTTTTTTGAGCTTCAAAATCAGCAAAACCCCGCAAATTCTTCAAAATTATTTTATTGCTATGTTCTGAGGCTATTTATAATTTAGTTTAATACCAGGGTTGAAAAGCCGCTTTGCGACTTTTTAACCCTGGCCCCATCTGGCCTCATTTTATCCTTTACTTTGCATAATTGTCTTACATTCGAATGACAAAAAAGTGAAAAACAACCTCTCCTGTCCATTTATATAGTCGAATCCCAACTTCAGGTCGATGCTAATTATTCCTAACAAAGAAGTTTTCACAAAAACTTAAATTTAATGTGGAAAATACGTGATTTTGTTGAAACTAAGATGCGTGCAGTCATCCCCAGGCCATTGCGCACCTAATGACGTATCATACATACCTTAAAATTGATCCCCTATCGAGATGTCTTCCGGACAGACAGACGGAAGTGGATGCAAAGTGGCACACACAAACACACAGACACTATTTTTTTTATATATTAGTTAGTATAACATTTAAACTTGGTGGGATCCTATTTAGGAACCTATAAAAAATAATAATAAAAACAAATGGTGACTTGGTAAACGAGCATCTAACGTATCCAATAAAATTCTACCGCTTTAAAAAAACAGCTGCTTGATCTAATCATAGATTAGCATATGGCAACATGCAAAGAAAATCAGGGGTGAAAATGAGTAATGGACCTCTAAGAGGAGGGATCCGGGTCGTAAATCAATGGCGGCTCTCGGTGAGCTATCATCGGCCGGCCGTCGGCTTGTCAACTCATGGCTCAAATCCTTGGGGCCCAAAAGGTGAAAAGTCGGTTCGGGGTCTGGTCATAACCGTGATTGGACTCTTGCATTAAATGCATGCTTACGTCTTTGTACATGTAATGTAATGCCTTAGTATTTGTGAAAGTCCATTTGTATTAGGGTAAGGGTCTAAATTTCATCGATTTCGCACAACTAGATACATTTTTTCGCAATTTAACTGCTCAAAACAGATCAACATCTATGTGAAAAATTTAAAAAGCGTTTTGGGAATATTTCTTAAATACAATTTTAATACAAAATTACTAGGTTGTATTTAGGGCCTTCCGGTATATGGCCCAAAACGATCACCTTCGAAAAATTAATAACACTACGTTAATATTTATGTATACCTATTGTCGTGCTTTTGTCGTACCTTCACCCCAGAGTACAAGTGACTACATGACAATCCTTGTCATTTCACCTCCCCGTTGCGGTTTGTGGACCCGAGAAAGAACCCCCCCCCACCCAAATGTTGCTCTTCTCAAATCTCCCTCCCCCTCCACCCCTAACACCTGACTCTCATAACCAAGAGCACCAAACCGACCAAATAGCTCTTCGTTCTTTTTTGGCCATTAATGGATACCCTAATGGTCAACATGCTCACCTATGCAAAATTGGTGGTGGAACGGAATGAGGGAGGAAGGGTTTGGGTCACGAGAGCTGGAATGGCCCTAAAATCCGTCTGAAGATGGATATGCGATGGGGGGTAGCGGTTGGGCCGTTTATTGGGCCGGAAAATGAACGGATGAGGAATGGGGGAGGGGAGGTTTTGGTTAAGGCTGGTTACGATTTTTGGGTTACGAAATTTATTGAATTTATTAAGGTAAGGGAAGGCTATGAGGAAACCATCACGCGATCACAAAAACACACATTATTTTAGCTCGTTAACGATCTATACAGCGTCAAAATCCGCTAAATCAAAGGCACTCCGACCCCATGTAAAATTAAAACATTTTTATAAAACATTAAAGGCATACACAAAAGCAGCCTAGACAATAGGTACCCTGCACCTAACCCCCCACCCGACATTGATGTAGCTATGTGGCCGTGATGGTGGTAGTTTCGGGTGCACCACCCCATCGAAGAAGAAGTGGAAGAGAGAATTGTGGTCTAGTGCTTGTTGAGGGAGAAAATTACTGAGAACGCGCAGATTGGGGCCCGAAGTGGATACGAAGAAGCGGAGGCCGGGTAGTGGGGGAAGAAGGAAGGCCGACGACGACGACCCACCCGGCGGCATTCCCCATAAATCGCCCGGCTCAACCCCATGCTCAACCAGTCAACCTTCAACCTCTTCTACACTTCTACCTTCGACAAGATATGTCTTCACCTAGACAAAGGATGATGACAGCTGAATTTTCGCGGGGTTTTTCTGAAAATGATTCATAAGAAAGCATTCAGCATGACGGTAGGACCTGGCCGAAACCATTTGGGAAAGCTCTTGCTCAAAAAGCATTTTGTGCGATTTTTAGGCGATTTGAGGCGGTTCTCTGTCTTTCTCTCTGTCTCATTCACTCTCTCGCTTTCTCTCTCTCGCTCTCTGTTCGCGCGCTCTCTCTCGCGCCCCCCCCCCGCCTCTCTCTCTCTCTCTCTCTCTCTCTCTCTTTTCTCTCTCTCTCTTCTCTCTTCTCGCTCTCTCTCTCTCGCTCTCTCTCTCTCTCTCTCTCTCTCTCTCTCTCTCTCTCTCGCTCTCTTCACAACTTTTTTCAGTTTATAAGGATTTTTCTTTTTTATGGCTTCCGACTTTTTTTTTGATTTGTAGTCCTTATGTCTAGATATAGATCGAGACTTTCACACCCCGCTCTCCCAACCCCAGGTATTACGACAGCTAATTTTTCGGGGTCACCGGGTCATATAGTCACCGGGGACGCCATTCGATCTCACCACCCCCGGCATTTTCTCTTACTAGACCAGTTTTCATTGGAAAATAGCCATTTTTTTTGTTGAAGCATATTGCATTCGGGAGCTAAGAATGGGAGCAAGATTTGTTTACAAATATTAACTTTTACAGCGAGGTCAAGTACCTTGTTTACACATTTCATTAGGTTTTATGTGCAGCCCCGCGCCATTAGGGTAATTTGTGTAGTGTGTACTGTGTTCAGTCTGGGAATGGTGATGGTTGAGAGAGAAAAAGGAGTGTGAGCTGAGGGATGAGACTACTCGGTTCGGTCCCTTTGCCTTTCCTTATCTATCAAACCCGACTCCGCGCCCTTGTCCTCATATTGATTAATTATAACCCACCTCAAAACTTCTCGTTTTCTGGCTGGTTGTGAACAAAATTTTTTTCTTTACAAGTTTTCGAGGCCTGTCGCATTTTATCGTCCAATGATTTTTCCGCAGCTAATCTTTCGTAAATGATTTTTAATGCAAAAGCTGACAAAACTAGTGATTTCCTAACTGTTTATTCTTAAGTAATCTCTTTGAAATAAATTTTCACAGTATGGTTTTCGAAGAATTTTAATTCGTAGCTTGCTTTTTATTTTTTATCAAAAACGATTTGTTAATCGATGCGTTTAGACGATCTATTCTATGAATAATATATATGATTAATCACTGCTATCTTCAAAAACGCTCTATTTTCCCCTTATGATCGAAAATTAGTATCTTTATATTTGAAGGATTTTGACCAGTACTAAAAGAAGTGCACCGGCCCACGAAAACGACAGAGAATGGATCGATAGAATCGGATACGGGGTTCCGCGTAATCAGATTGCAATAAAACGGAGAAAGTTTGAGCCGGGCAAATCGCCAACCTTGGGCCCGTAAACCAGTGGAACGGATGAGAAGAAAGTTAGTGCAGCTTGTTCAGCGAAACGCTTCGAATAGCTGTATACGTAGCATTGCAAACCACTGGTTTTGGTTCACGGCGGGTTGGCCGTCAGTTCTGAAGAGTTTTCGCGTCTCGTAACCTTGGGTTGCCCGAGCGCTGAACAAGATACACTAATGGCTTGCGGCAATTTTCATTCCCGGGCCTTACAGGCCCATAAGTCCGATTTTGGGCGTTTTGCCAACTTTGAGCTTCTCTTTTTCCGTTTTTTTGCAAATTCTGATTACAGATTCGGTCCCCGTGTCCGATTCTATCAGACCCTATGTCTCGTGTCGATTTCCGTGGGCCGGTCGTGCCTCCCTGTAGATGAAAATTTATGTAAAATCAAGCGAATTGTTTCTTGATACACATATCCTTCGAAAGCCCAACCATGATTTTAATTAACAATCGGGGACATGACTATAATAACTCCTAATTGTTCTATCTAATTCTAAATAATTTAAATTTTAAATTCCATAAAATTCTTCCATCATTTTCTGGGTTTTGCGAGGGGTACTGATGATATCACCTCAAATATCTCACCGATTGCCAAAGTCCCTAAACAAAAAATACCACACCGAAGGTTATAATCAATTATCAATGCAGCGTATTTTTCGTCTTTCACCGAAAAATGAGTCTCACAAACCGGATCCGTTGCAATTTCGACGATCTCCCTTTGATTGCTGCTCCTCTCTGATTCCCCTTCCACAACACACCTATTCCGGTGATAGAACGCGACGGAGAAATGTTTTCCCCCAAGCAACCGCGTGTGCTGATAACCATTTTCCTTGTTGGGAGCTCTTGCTGTTGAGTACAGTAGTGTGCTGTGGATGATTGTGCTCTTCTCAGAGGCATTAATCGATCTGATGGATGTACGGGATGAGTCGTGGCCAGATATGGGTGGAACGTCATCAATGTATGAGGTTGGTTTTGTAAAATTAGGCGTAACACGGTCAATTTTACGAGAAATATTTGCTTAGAAAATAATTCTCACTGGTAAATTTTTGGAAAGGACTGATTTTTTAATTGGTATGTTATTTGTTTGTGATGCAGATTTTGTTATCAGATTTGCAAACGCTGACTTTGCAAAATTTCGCGTTCAAAGCCTACTATCTTTTTTCTATAGCATAACACGCTCAAATGGCTCATAAGGGATTTTGCATCATAATGCCGAAAATTCGAGGTAGAAATTAAATTTATCGAACGGGACCTGATCGAAATTTTCAATGGCAATTTTCATATGCCGAAAAACTCCGAAAAATGTCGAAAATCAGAAACGATAATAGTGACGAACTAAATTTTTGAAAAATTTAATTTCGACAAGTTAGACCTTGATAAACTAATTTCGACAAATAACGTGACGATATTCTAATTGTTCCGCAAGGGAAGCATTCCTCCAGAGCTATAGCTCTAAACAATCGTTCCCAGGATGCCCTTGACGAAAACGACAGCGAAGTGGAACTCGAAGAAATTTGCGCAGCCACCCGAAAAGCCCTGTCCACCCGAGGCGTGAACAGGTATCCATACAATATTGTTATACTTTAAAAGTTCAGGCCCCGAACAAAGCCATTGAACTTGAGTCCACCGGTACCGGCCACTTACAGTAAACAGGCCTCATCCAGCAGCGACCACTCGAGTATTGAAAAGATCCAACCAGGTACGCGTTAAAACAAAACACCTAAATAAACAATTAGCCGGTTTAATTTAGTTTTAAACTCTAATTTGCCCACATTTTCAGTACCTATGAGGAGAAGCCACCAACAAAGAAGCCGAAAATCGAAAAGTGCAGCCAGCAGCCGGGGTGACAGTGATGAGGCTAGACATTATCAGCCGCATTTTGTAGTAAGGACCCTAATTCGCTTTCATTAATTTATAATTTAGTATCCGTCTGGAGATTGGCATCTGTATCCAGTCTTGTTGCAGTTATCTCAAACCTTGCAGGCCATGTCAAGTCAAGTAAGCTTTTCCTAGCCTTGGCTTTGCCCTTGTATTGAGATGACCATCAAGAGGAGATGATGGCCAAAAATAGATATTCAATTTATTGAAAATGAAATTAATTTATAGATATTTAGCTTCACGATATGGAGACAGCAAATCGATTACAACTACGGATCGTTTACAGGGTCCTACGAATTATGTTAAAACTAAAAGAGGTAGTTCGCTTCAAAATTCCAACACAACTCTCAATTTCAGGATTCCTCGAATCGCTGGTTTCCCAAATGGCTTGTCAATTCCTTCAAGTGGACGTTATTTATTCTGGTGTGGCCGTTGTTGGCCCGTTTTATTTGGGTCTGGTACTCACGGTAATATTGAACTTAATAGTTTTTGGTGAATACTAAATTTTAGACGGCGCCACTTCATCGCCAAAGCCATAATGACGTACTTGTAATTGGTAATAAATTGTATTACTAGCTAAATTGGCTTCAATAACATTAAAACGTTGAGTGTATTGGATTAAAAATACTCAGCAGTGTATTTCGATCAATATAAGGTTAACAAGTTTATTTTCCACGTTCCGTGGCGCGAATCACAAGGGGGGATCGGCTTGGCCGGATGTTGTTTGGTTCACAAAGCCGTAAGGCGGATAGCGTATCGACGCTTACTTACTTACGCAAGTAGCGGACAACAAAAATACACATATCCATTCGAAAGCTTTAGGGGGAGAAGAAGGCCTTTAATAGATACCAGGGGCTGCGATCAACGCATTTAACAGAGGTATCGGCAGGCAGTTCTTGCGGATTCGGGATTTAAGGTCTGGGTTTTAAGTTCCTGTTCCCTTCAAAAGCTATAGCTCGGTTTAATTTTCAGTTCAATTAGAGAAAACCGAGATATTGCTTTCCCACACAATCATACACAAAATATACAATTTGTACATCTAATTCGGGCCAAAATATTTAGAGACTGAAGTTGAAGGCAACAATTATTGGGGGTAAGGGGTGGATTGCTATGTGTAGTTTTAGTTGGAGAAACCGTTTCAGACCCGCTGCGTGAGCACGCCGTCCTTTAGGTCGGCGCTGATTTCACCGGTAATTATGTGGCGCTTGAGGAAACCCTAGGAAAAAGTGTGTATTAATTTTCAAGTGGTTTGGGCTTACCAAAAAGTCGGTTTCAATGATGGCCGTCATACGAACGGCTTGGGTGTAGTAGACGTACTCGAAAACTTTATCTGTCGAGATTCCGGTCTAAAAAGTTATTTAAGTGAGAAACTGGATAGGTATATCTCCAATTCATAAAACGATTCTATCGATACCTTTGGGGCCATGTTAATGGCTTTTTGGACGAGGTCACAGAGTGTGGATACAGCCGTGTAATGAGTCTTGCAAATCACCGGCGTCACCCATTGTGGGCCAGAAGCTGCTTCATCGACTTCGCCCTACAATTTTAGGCTAGCTTCGATTTTTGTTCCCGATAATATTGCGAGTAGCCTATCTGATGTCTACCTCATATTCATCTGACCCATTGAAAAACACGTCATCCTCATCCGGGTAGCAAATAACCGAGGCAGTGGTTGAGCTAGAATAATTGTTTAAAATCATGAATACTGTAGAATACCCCCGAGGAGTTCGGTCGTTTCCCGTGATTCCGTCCCGGCGCTCGTCCCGCTGAAAAAACACACAATAGCGCTTATTCGTCACACTGACACAGCGCAAGGAGGAAACGTTCTCTTCACTGTTTTACAGCAAAAAAAGTTTTAGAAAGACCGAGAATCTTCAACCGTAAGTTATAGTAAAATCCAAAATTACCAACCGAATCGGAGCTCGAGATTGAAGAGCGTGGGCGCCGAGTCGGATCTCGCATCGACCTGGAAAACAAGCACTTTTATCGGTTTTGGGATGTTCATCGCTGGAATGGAAATATCTTAAATATAGGAAACGTGTACGGAAATGCGATCAGGGCAAAAATACAGATTCCGGAAGCCCGTCTGGGGGAAAACAAGAGCATATTTTTGGGAATCCTGACACTGGTCAAAGGAGACGCGATTTATGGTTGGAGACGGAGAGTTTTGGTTTCAATAATATGGGTAAGAAAGTCAAACTTGAAAGAGAGAATGGTATGGAACAGATAGTCAGCGGATTTCAACGCTGAAAAATCAACGAACACCGGCTTATCAGAACGGCGGGGATGGCCTCATGCCGCCTTGAGATTTCGTAGTAATACGAAACTTAAGAGGTTTTTTTACCAAAATGGCATGGGCAAGGGGTCGAAAAGCCGGGGGATTAAGAACGAATAGGATGAGTGACAGCTTGAAACAAATCTATAGGCGTAATGTAGCCACAGATCACTAGTCAACAACGACCCGATTGCATTGTTATGTCGTTATTCGGAACACGGCAGAATCGATGGATTGTGGGTGGTTGTATGTGAGTGGCAGGAGACCAGCCGGTTCCCCTATAGCCTTCTCCTCCCAACCCTCTGGTTCCTATTCTTCCTGGAGCCGACCGATGGCAACCCCCATCCCTTTTTGCCCTCCCTTTCCTTCCACACTTGAACACACGACCATCGCCTTTCCGGTTTTACTGTTGTTTTTGTGAAAGAGCTGTGAGAGAAAGGATAGCATGGTTAGGTATATGTCGAGAGAGGTAGAGGATAATGGATGTCCAAGAAGCTACCCCGCTAGCGGCCCGGGTAAGTTCGGATTGGGGTCATTTGTATGTTATTCGGAAGCTCTCAAAAGGCAAGAAAACCGAGCTTTTTTTTAGATTATTTGCCATTTGCTCGAGATTCAGCCCTTGCTCGAAAAGCCTATTTGACTGAAAAAAGAAGCTTACCACACGGGGGGGGGTGTCTGTCGTTCAAGCCGTTCAGTAAAAATATTAACTTAGAAAAATTTCGCTGTTTTCCTCGCCGTGACGACAAAATCTCGCTAAATCTCTAATTTTTCAAAACCGCACACTCCCTAGCAAGCGCGTTTCCTTTTTGGGTCACTCTATATTGGTTTTGAAAGCCCTTAGATTGGACAGTATAAAACAGCAGGCTAAAAAGAGTAGCAAAACTAAAAAAGAGAGGCAGATAGCGAAAGAAAATCCTATCCTATAAGCGAGAAAAGTATGTCTGTTTTCTGTACAGCCGATTTCTCGGCCGTCAGGCCGAATTTCGAGCTGATTTTTGGCATGGAGGTGGTGAAACACATTTGTCAGTGATGCTTTTTTTTTTGTTTTGCGAAATTCCTTCATTTAACCATTTCATAAGCAAAAAAGTGAAAAATCCTTAACAAAAGGGGTTTTTGCCGCGTTGTCCGGAAGTTTTCTCGGCGCCTAGAGGGAATTGGGGCTCAATTTTTGGAAGGTAGATGGGAAATGTATTTCCCCAGATACATTTTTTCGGATTTTGCAAAATTCTGTAAAATAAAGTTTTTATAAGGATTTTTCTGAAAGGTCCTTAATAAATCTCGCCACGGGCCGTGGTGTCCAGGCCATATCTCAATTCACATGGCGAATATGGACCTGTATTTTTGAACACTTATGTATTCAATGGTGAGGATCACGCGCATCTTATTATCTTCACAAAATTCGACCAGCTTCCACCTCCAAAGTTCAATTTTGAAAAGTGGCCTGAAAGCCTGCCTGTGGGAGGTGCTGGGGCCCAATCCTTTTAGCACAGCTCGGTTACGCCCCCAGGATATGAAGAGGCCTTTACCGCTACCCGTTTCAACCTCCCCCTGTGGTGTAGTGGATCAAGGCCGGGGCCACGGCGTTGAGGGTCGCGGGTTCCGATCCGTGAGAATTTACCTTTTTGCTTTTTGGTTGTTCAAGCAACAAGACATGGTTCTAGGCTTTCCGTGTGCGCGATTTAGGCCTAGCCTTCGCCCTCGCGCCGCAGGCCCAAGAAAAGGTTCTTGGGTCAGGATCTCGCGCCGCAGGCCACGTATGGGTCCTTTACCCAGGCACTAGCGCCGCAGGCCAAAGAAAAGGACCTTAAACACACTCTCGCGCCGCAGGCCAAATCCGGGAGAAAAAGCAGTAGCTAGCGCCGCAGGCTCAAGGATTATAGCGCAACACTGGCTCTGGCGCCGCAGGCCAAAGAATGGTCTGACCCAGGTTCTTGCGCCGCAGGCTAAAAAGAAGCTATTCAAATTCATCGTTCCTGGACGGGGCCCAGTGGAAAAGGGCCGCGAAGCGGTCTTTTTCCACTGGTTTGACGAATATGTTAACTTAAAATTCTTGCCCAAGCATACATGGGAATCACACCGAATAAAATCGATCATCCCCAGGAACATTTTGAAAGTGCTAGGTGCCGCCCCCCAAAAACCGGCTTACTATAGAAAATCGGTTA